CTCTTGACTAATGTATCTTTTCTTTTATGTATAGAGTATTTACACCAAGACAAATTCCTTATGTGTCCAATCACACTTTGCCAATAAAGTATTCTACTATCTACCTGTCTATATTTGCCGTTGATCTCTCATAGAACCATCAAGCCTTTTCTCTAAAATCTAGGGTTTTTCCAAACACAGTTTGCAAACTCTAGGTTAGATACAAATAAGATGTAAGATCTAACTAACATCTTTAGCATTTGATATTATAGGATTTTGCACATTTAAAAATATTTAAGATGGGGATTCTGCATTGTATCAGACTCTCACTGGTATTTCATTCTTTTCTTTAGTCCTGCTGAATCAGGCTGGTGATTTATTTGGGTATACAGCTGAAAAATTATTTGAATAATGAAGGTGATTGTGAAACATCTCATCTCTTGCATAGATTGCTTGTTCACAGTTCTACAATTCATTTCTTTAAAAACAGTTGAAAGAGAACATCGATCAGCTTTTTACCAAGTTTGTGGATGAAGGAAAAGCCACCTTACGGCTAAAAGAACCAGCTGTGGATATTTGTCTTAGCAAGGTATGAAATCAGCTCTAGAGGCAAGTGGTCACATAATTTTTGCCTTTAAATTAACAAAAAACTTATTTTTAATGGCACTTCCATTTGAATTGGAAGGGTGGGTGGAGAATGAGGAGGAAGGGTGTTCAAACATTTTACGGTAGGACAATCACAGTTGAACTTTATGCACAGTAGTTTGGAGGCAGCAAGAAAAAAACTTCACTAAATTTTCTGACAATACAAATTTAAGAAATTACAGTTGGCAGCTTTTGAACTTCTAATCTATAGTGCATATCTATATATCTCTTTGAAAGTAATGCCCAGATTAAAGACTATAGTTTCTTTCACTAGTTGTGATGTTAGGTGCTGTTTTCATTTGACTTACAGGTAAAATATAAAACAATTCTACTTTTCAATGTGTTTTAATGAGTGTACATAAAAGCATTCAGAAATTCAAATATAATAGCTGAAACAATGATCATCATGTCTTTGAATACATGTTTGGGGGTGTCTTTTGTATAAATATATATTTAGGGTTTTTAATTATGGGATCAGTCTTATTTTTTTCAAGCAATGGTGACAATACTGATTATTGTAATCAAAATAATGCCATATAAACTGCTGTGTTTTCTCTTTTGCTTTCCAAGAAAGGGAATAACCTCTTGCTGCCTCAATGCATTTATTTCATAATTTAGAAAATTATGTATTTCTCCTCCCAAAGAAATCCAAATGAATTATGCAGGTTGCTTATCTTTGTGCACATTTTCCGTGCAGGCAAATGTCAGTGAGCTGAGGACTTTCCTTTATGCAGTGAAATTGGCTCATCAAGGCACCAAAGAGGAAACTTTACCACTTTCTAAGCTGGTGTCACCAAAGGCCTCTGAAGTTGAAAAACCAAAAACCAAGATGACCATAACATCAAAGAAGGATTATCCTTTAACTCGGAATTTCCCATACTCTCTGGAGTATCTCCAAGCCTCCTATTGCAAATTAGCTCGTATAGATATGCGTATGCTTTGCCTGAGAAACCTTCGGAAACTGGACTTGAGCCACAATAGTATTAAACAGCTCCCAGCAACTATTGGGGACCTTGTTTGCCTTCAGGAGCTCAATCTACAGGACAATCAATTGGAGTCATTCAATGTGGCTCTATGTAACTCTACTCTCAAAAAATCACTTCAGTCTCTGGATCTCAGCCAGAATAAAATCAAAGCACTGCCTGCACAATTTTGCTGCTTGCAGAAACTTGTACATTTGAAGTTAGATGATAATAATCTGATCAGATTGCCATTCAAGATTGGTCAACTGTCGCATCTCCGCTTCTTATCTGTGGCTCGTAATAAACTTCCATTTTTGCCCAGTGAATTTGCTAAACTCTCACTTGAGAGCTTGGATTTATTTGGCAATCCTTTTGAGCAGCCGAAGCCACTTGTTCCTGATATACACTTAAAAATACCACTGACTTTACTAGAATATTCTGCAAGGGCAACCATCAATTACAGGTAAAAGGGGTAGGCTCTAGTTTAAATTCTTAAAAGAAATCATTTTCCCAATTTTGCATTTTAATTGGCAAAAGGAATCATGAAAAGGGTGGTGGTTTTTTTGTTTTTAAATGGCAAAGTGTTCATTGGTTTGTATGTAAACCATAGTGGGTTCAGTTGTACACGAGGGAGGCAAATATATGCTTTACATATAGGGTTGCAGAGCAAGATCTTAACTTACACCAGTGCTCTGGTACACACATTAGTCTGAGAATATTGGAAATAATATATATTTGATTGAAAAGGTAGATTATAACATACTGCTTTATTAGCATATGGTGGTATTATACTAGCCATAAGACTACAATGCTAATTCAGATGAGTAGTAGGTTCAGAGCTGGCAGGAATCTAACCCCCTGCACAAAGCACCAGCTTTTCTCCCCACTGATGTGGTCTACTCACATAGAAAATTCTGCCCCTTCTTTCAGGGCAACCTCATCATTCGCTTTAATTAGCTATAAGTTACTGCATATATGTCTTTATTAGCTAGAAATACTTCTGGTCTAGTAAAATATGAAAGTGTTGCATAGTATTAGATTTCCCAATTTTCAATCAAAATAGCATACAGAGCCCTCCATTCTTTTGTGTCTCCCATAATAATCACCCTATGAGGTAGACAGGGTTGAGAAAGTTATTTGTTCAAGGTCATCAGTAAACTACTTTGGCTAAAAGTGCCTCAATTTATAATCCTACATTAAATCAGTATACTTCAGTTCAAACTGTCTGAGAAATGGGCTTTAGAAAAAATTGTATTATATCTAAAATATATTTCCATTTTTTAAAAATTTAGTCTCTTATCACAATAACTTCGGCACATGGTACATTTTACCAATGCTTTAGGGAAGTAAGTCTATTTATATAAATGGCATTTTCTTTTTTGTAGGATCCCATACGATTGCCGCATTCTTCCTTACCACCTTCGCGATGATCTTGAGATGTCAAAAACTTGTCAATGTGGACGTGCTTGCTTGACCTGCTTCATTCAGACAACAGTGACTATGAATCTGCACAGTGTGGCCCACACAGTTGTTCTTGTGGATAATATGGGAGGCACAGAGGCCTCCATTCTTTGCTATTTCTGCTCTCTCACTTGCTATTCTCAGTTTCTGGACAGACATCTGCAAAGTGTGAGGTGATCAGATTATAAACTGAGAAGTTTTATTCAGCAAATGCTAACTTCTGTTTTGTACTGGAAGAAAAAGAAACTATGCTGGAACAAGGCTTCTCATCTGTAAACCATCTCCTTTTTTATTATCTGAAGACTGCAAAAAGTTTTTAAAGTGTTAGATATTATTCCTGGTGCCAGATGCAAGTTCCTCCCTAACTTCTATGTAATGCTGAGAATGGAATAGCCGAAGCTCACATCCTCTCAACTGGGAAAAAATCCTTTTCTACTCTTATTTTAGCACAATTTTTTTTTAATAAAAACAGTAATGTTTTTCTGAGTAAAATGTATTTTCAGAGATGCTGTAAAACACATAGTGCTTTGAATACAGAATTTGCTATCATTTTTGAAAAATTCTTAATTTATAAACTATTCTTTGAAAATGGGAAGCGCTAAACTCTCATGACAGTATTTGGAATTCATTTTTAAAAATAAATGCACACTTTGTGCAATCTGTATATGCCTGTCAAAGGAAGATTTGTCACACCAATGTAACCAATCATATTTAGAAATGTTTTGATTCAGAACGGTAGCATTGTTAAATGGTAAAGATCATATTACAGTTTGTATACAATAATTTATTGAGTACAAAATACAATTTACAGTGTTTTTGTAACAGACAATAATTTCCAGATATCAGCTGAAAATTTAAAATCAGCATAAGATAGATTACCAGGTCAGATGGAAATTGTGCTTAGACTAAAACATGATGCTTTAACTACACACCATGAATCTAGAAATTTGTTTCCAGTCTCAGAGAAAAATACAAAAGTTCTCTTGTTACTATAGGAAATAAAACTTCTTAATTTTAATACTTTAAAAGTCTAGAAACCAGAAAATTGGTTTTTCGTCCCACCTTAGGCAAGAACTGACTGGATGACTGAGCAGTCTCAGCACATTTCACACACATAACCTTTATACTAAAAACATGGATGTAGCTTATGCAAAACATCATTGTTATGCTTTAGGGTAAACATGAGCTCACAAGGAAACAGAAATGAATTGTAAGGGAGTTGACTTACAGGGAGGAAATGAAAAAAAAGTTCTCCAACAGAGATCTTTAGTGGCCCAGAGCACATTTATACTGTACACACGATTAACTGATGATGGACTATCAAGTCACTGTCAACTCTTAGGATGATCTGTTCCTAACCTGATCTTTCAGATGTTATCTATACAGGTACCATATGGCCAACAAGCTAGGATAGTTAGAAAGCCTGACTGGAGAGAATCAGTTGCCCATTGTCTACGGAAACAACGTTTGGGGGTCTTTGGTGCTTTCTGAGCTTGGTGGTGGTTTTGCAGCAGTTTCATTACCCAAGTAGGTAACCGTCTGCAAGAAAATAACCAAGCTCAGAGAGCACGAAGGAACCTCACAGTTCAATCCTGAGCTGCAAATATTCTCTTCTATGCTTTCAAAGTTATTGAAAAGGCCAGGAAATTTGGACAGCAGAATAGTTGTTCTTTTTGCCTCCTACCAATCAGATTCATTTCGGGAAGGTCAGTGCGAAGCGACTCCTTTCTCCGAGAGCGCCTCCAGCCGTACAAAAACCTTGAGGACCAGATTACGGTTTTTCCACAGCGAACGAAGCGGGTAGTCCGGATCCGGAAGCCGCGCCTGGAGAGGGAGGTCCTGGGGTTGCTGCAGCCCCGACGGAGGTAGCGTGGCCGGCTGGCGTGGCCGGGGCGGAGCCGCTCGGGTCCCTCCTTCCTTCTTTCTTTCCTTCCTTCCTTCCCTCGCTCATTCTTCATCCGGCCGCGCTGCCTGTTTCGTCTCCGGCCAAGAAAACGAGGGAGAAGATGCGCGCGCGGCGGCGGCGGCCCGAGCAGTCGGGCCCCCGAGAACCCCGGGGCGCTCGGTTGTTCCGCTGATGCGCGCCAAGGGGCAGGGGGCCCCGCCAGGCCCGTCTCGAAGCCACCGCAAGTGAGGAACGAGGAAGGCACAGGAGAACCGGAAACCTCCCGGACCATGAGATTCCGCATCTACAAGCGCAAAGTGGTGGCGCTGCTGCTGGTCTTGGGCGCCGCCGCCTGTGCCTTGGTGCTTTGGGGAGGGACAGGCGAGGCCGCCGGCAGCAGCAGCGGCAGCAGCAACAACAACAAACGGGAAGAAGCCGCGTCTCCGCCGCCGCTCCCAGGAGATCGACCGTTGCCGCCGGCGGTTAGCAGCAGCAGCAGCCGCCTTCCAGTTAATCACGGACCTCACTCCAATTCTTCTTCGATATCGCGGGAAGAGGCGGCGACGGGACTGAATCGCACCCTGCACTACCGGTCTCTGGTCTACCGGCTCAACTTCGACCAGCCGGTTCGCAACGAGGCGAGCTGGCGGCCTGGCGGGGGCGGCCCCGGAGAAGTGGCCGTGGCGCTGGTGGTGCAGGTGCATGAGCGCGCCGAGCACCTCCGCATCCTGTTGGACTCGCTGCGACGCGCGCCCGGCGTGGAAAAAGTGCTCCTCGTGCTTAGCCACGACGTGTGGTCCGCCGAGTTGAATGCGCTGGCCGCTTCCGTGGACTTCTGCGCCGTCCTGCAGATTTTCTTCCCGTTCAGCTTGCAGCTCTATCCGGGCGAATTCCCAGGCACGGACCCACGCGATTGTCCGCGCGACGTGGGCCAAGCGGCGGCGCTGCGCTCGGGCTGCCTCAACGCTCATTACCCCGATGCCTTTGGCCATTACCGGGAGTCTCGTTTTACCCAAACCAAACACCACTGGTGGTGGAAGCTTCACTTTGTGTGGGAGAGAGTGCGTGCTCTGAGGGAACACCCAGGCTTGGTGGTCTTCTTGGAGGAGGACCACTACTTGGCACCTGACTTCTACCATGTCCTGCAACGCCTCTGGGCCTTGAGGCAGCGGGACTGCCCTGAGTGCCAGTTGCTGTCCTTGGGCACTTATGCCACTGTGCGCGGCAGCTTTGCCGGCCGAGCTGACAAGGTGGAATTGAAGACATGGAAGTCCACAGAGCACAACATGGGCATGGTGTTGGCTAGGGACACATACCAACAACTGATTGCCTGCACTGATGCCTTCTGCACCTATGATGACTATAACTGGGACTGGACCCTGCAGCATTTGACTGTAGGATGCCTTCCTCATTTTTGGAAGGTGCTGGTTCCAGAGATCCCCCGAATCTTCCACACTGGTGACTGTGGTATGCACCACAAAAAATCTTGCCAACCCTCTGTTCAGAGTGCCAAAATTGACTCGCTGTTAAGTAGCAATCAACAATACTTATTTCCTGAAACCTTAACTATTAGCAAGCGGTACTCAATGACCCCTTTGAGCCCCCATGTGAAAAACGGGGGTTGGGGTGATATTCGAGATCACGAACTCTGTAAAAGTTACCGAAGATTACAGTGAAAGAAGGAACATTGAGTCTTTGTCTCTGTTGGACTGATACACAAACATAAATACTTGGAATTTGCTTCTAGTTTAATATGGACATCGATGATTGCAGAAGATTTCATTTGGTAATTAATTTTGGACACTGAATAATTATGTCGAGCAATGCTCAAAATAAAAACTATAAATGTCTACTTGTTTACTGGAAATAAGAGAGGTTTTTTTTACAACAGATCTAGTCCCTTTTATAAAATATTCCCAACATCTTCAAACTTGTTTTAACAAAGATAAACATTGTAGATGCAATTGTATCTATGGGGGCCCTGTCAGTCTTTTGCTCTTCAATGGTCACATGTTTTCAAAAGTTAGCTTTTAAGTTTGTTTTGTAACTTACTTCACCCGCTCCCCCTTTATCTTTACAGTATGATCCTCTGATTACTCAGTATTCCATTTCTATAACCTTTTACTGGCTTGCTTGAAATTTGATACCTTAATACCTGCAAAAAGCATTATCTTATTTTCTATGTGCTTATGTGAGAAAAAAAATGAAATTGGTTTCTTTTAATGTAGAATTATGCAGCTTTTTTAATTACGCCAAAATAAAAAAATCATGTTTTTGTAATACAAATTTCAATGGTTTGATAGAATCCATTTTATTTGAATTTAAATATCACAAATTAAAATTTTCAATACACAAATATTAGCATAATTCCAAGACATGTAATCAGCTCTTTTTAAAAATATACTATTTACTTCCTATTGAAACAATCTAATTTTTAGATTTGGCAGCCTAATATAATTACAGAGCATTGAGCATAGAATTTGAATGTTAGAAAAATAATTAGAACATTCAAAAATATATTGATGTGTTAGGCTTAATATCCTAAAAAACCTTGCTTATGGAAACAGTCACAATTTAATTAAACTATATGCTCAGCTCTACAATAGAATTTTGTCTCAATTTTTTTCTAGGCAACCCACATAAAAGTTCATTATGCCAACAAATATCCTAAAATACATCCTTAGTTTTTAACAAAAAAAACCCAAATTTATTACTTGTCCAAACAGATAACAGATAATAGAAATATTTGGGACAAACTAGCTTAGTCTTAAAAATAATTTTTGATAAATTATATTTGAAAAATGACATCCAGATCATATTAAACTAGGAGGAATTAATAGAAAAACTACATCTTTCCATATCTTGTTTTTTTGCCTTTCTGAAATAGATATTTTTAAGATTACAAAAGGAAGGATTTATTAGATTTTATAAAATTTCCTACTAGTGTTTTATTTGAATATGCAGATAGAGCTTTTAAGTTAAATAGATGAAAGACTGCAAACTATTTTAAATCATTCTTATTTAGAAGGGAGTTTGTTAAAATCTCTGGTTTGTAATATCGGCAAAATTGAACAACTCAGTTAAAACTAAGCACAGCTAAGAACCACATAAGTCACTGATGAAAGTTAATTTATTTTATGGAAACTTTAATCTTGACTTTGTAGTTTGTCCTGTGCAATGTTGCTTGCTAATTTCCAGCAAATTATCAACACCACCAAAGGTCATTTTCCACCTAATGGATAATTCTGGGGATAATTAGAAGTTGGTTTAAGCAAGAAAATTTAATTATGGTAACTTGACATTTAGAACAGTTCCCTGTTATTGCGTACTGTGTAGTTTTGGATGTTATAATTTAACTGGGTTTCAATGGCAGTTTTAATGATGTGATCTGCATATTCAAAAGAATAACAATTTCAAGTACATATTATCTAAAAATATATTTTTATGGGGGTATCTACCTTATTGTTTGCATAGGTATATCTTCCCATGATTATTTAATGACATTACTTACACTTATGACTTACACTTAACAGAAACAGACTCAGCTTGCCAATGGTTGCTGTGACAAAATAGGACAAGGCTTACAAAATGTCTTTAAGTTAAGCTTTGAAATTTTTTGAAAATTTAACTAAATGAAATTGGCAATCTGGCAGCATAAGAATCCTAGCCATGTTACAAATAAATCCATTTGGTTTCAATGGTTTCATTTTTGAGTTACCACTTTTTCATACCACTTGAAGAATTTCCCCAATGTAGCTAGGGCATTAAAAAGACTTCCAAAAGACTGAAAATGTTTGCAAACTAAATGGCAATTAATTGTTAATAATCTTTATTCCCTACCTATAGGATACTAGATAGCATAAAAACACTCAAGCTGGGTAAATACACAGATGTAAGCAATTCTAACAGCAAAGGCTATGTGTAAAATGTCATCTAGTTTTGGAGAACGTTTACTGGGTTATTTGCTATTTGGCTAAAAACTGGAGAAAACAGAATGGGATGTTAAAAATAAGGAACTGGAAGGCAATCAGAATTAGGTTTTGCAAATGTGAATGGTCACAGTAGTTGGTTCCTTTCAGACAATCTTGTCAGAAATTTTATATCCAGTCTTCCCAGTTAAGCATGGCTCACATGTTTACACAAAAATGTGTACAGTTTACTTATAAGTCAAGGTGTTTGCAGATTTTCTACATGCTTTCCTAACTTTTGCCATCTAATTTGGATCAGGATTTTCCGGAGAAATCTGTATAGCTTTAATGAACTGCCTATTTCTTTTTGAAATTCAGTAACAAATTAGTCACATCCAAATGTTTGAACTAAATGAAGGAACAAGCAGTTTCTATTACTTTTTTCTTCCATCAATATGAATTTCAATTTCTGTATAGCTTTGACTTTTTGTATACTTCACAGTAAGTGCAAAATTTGAGGTAGCTGCAGACTCAGTTGAGTCTTATGAAACTGATTTAATCCAGTTCATATAGCAAAGCATTTTCAAAGGTAACTGCACACTGTGTTCTGTGGCAGCTTGTATACTCCACAATACCATCTTGCATGTTAGTTTCCTTTAACACAGTGGGAGTTAACCTGTTCAACTCTTTGTTCTGTGAGGGCTCTTTATGTTCATTCACTTCCTCTCCCTCCTGAAGGTCAGCTTGCATTGAGGACGTGGCTCTTTTGCTTGTTGCAAAAGAAAGGCCTGGCTCATGTAATTTGTTTATTTGCAACTTCCCTAGTATCCTCCCATCGGGGTCACCAGGGTCAAGTTCCATACAATAGCTTGATCCCTTGCCAACTGGCCCCATTTTCTGCATAGTTACAAATGAACCTGAAACACTCGTGGTTTGTTTGGAGCAGTTTTCTTTATCTGTTAAAAGTTTGCCATGTTCTTGTTCACTGCCATCTCTTTTTTCTCTTCTGCCAAGTTCCAGGCTACCATTCTCTATCTGCTGAGAGGAAGAACAAAATATTTCACTGTTTCAACCTAAGAAACAAGCTTATTAACAAGAATAACTTGCATTTCCTCCTTCCTTGGTCTTACCACACACAGCTGTGGCTCTATCTTCTTGCTATACTTTCTGTAAACATAGTTGGAGAATTGCCTAACCCTGACAGCAGAATATAACTTGCTTAGAGGCAATGTTGCATTATAACAGACAGGTAGTTGATATGTATTTAGCAATATAATATATTAGTAGTTTATCTGCTTGGTCTTTCAGCCTCTGTAATGTGCCATTTGGATCTACTTTTTAATTATTTAACTATTAAATGGTTACATTGATAGCCTAGCTCAAGGAGAAATTTGATATGCTTCAGATGCTTGTGAGAAGGACAGTTGGGAAGGGAAAGATGGACAAATATGCTTCTGTATTCTTAAAATCCAATTTACCAAGAAGTAAACTAATTATTCTCACTCAACAATGTTCATAAGCCTCCAATTATTATTTGCTAGCATTCTTCAAGGCTACGTTCAAATTCCTATAAGTCAAACCAAGTTGCTGTACTGCTTGAAATATTTCAGATTTAGATAAAGGTAAAGGTTTTCCCTCTCCAGTCATGTCTGACTCTAGGGGATAGTGCTCAGGGTTGTCCAAAGACATTTTCCATACAGCCAACATGGCTATATGCCAAAGCTGCACAGAATGCTATTATCTTCCCACCAAAGTGGTACCTATTTATCTACTCTAGATAAATTGGGGGCAATATGTTGACAGTAAGCCATTAGGGCTGTAAAGCAGTATATAAGTAAGTGCTATTGTTATTGCTACTCACATTAGCATGCTTTTGAACTGCTAGATAGACAGGAGCTGGGGAAAGTAATGGGAACTCACCACGTTGACCCAGCTATCCAGCTGATAAGCTTGGTGTCTTACCCACTGAATCGGTGGGATTTAAATTTCTTAACAACTGGTTCTCTGTGTGTGGCCTAATTTGTGGGTGTGGCTTGGTGGGCATGTGACTGGGTGGGCATGGCTTGTATGTAAATATAAATATTGCTGTAAATATTGATTTTTTTTTATAAAAAAGATAAACCTTTACCCAAAAGCAGGCAAAGTAGGCAGGCAGATTGGGTTGCTCACAGAATCACAGATTCACTTAGAGATCTATCTATCTCCAATTGGCTACCTAAGTCTGTCACATAAAATTTGCTTGCAAGCAAACTCATAAAATTTGCTACCAAGCAAACTCACAAAATTAACTCACAACACGCCATGTATGTATAAGACCACCATGTTGGTCTTTTTATAAAAAAAGACCAACTTTTACCCAAAAGCAGGCAGGCAGATTGAGTTGCTCAAAGAATCACAGATTCACTTAGAGATCTATCTATCTCCAATCGGCTACCTGGGTCTGCACTGGAAAGTAGAAGCTTCAGTCCTAAGGAAGGTTTGGCTCTGCTTTCTAGCTAATTAAATCTCCCGGAGAGCAGAACCAGAAAAAAAAAAAAAGGAAAAAAATAGCAACTTACCAAACCAGGCAAGTTGGAGGGCTTGCATGCCAGGTAAGGAGTGAGTGGGCGGGGAGGGGCCAGCCAATGGAATGATTTGCTGGTTCTCTGAACTACGCGTGTGTGCATTGTTTGCAAGAACAATGCCACCTGGACAGCTGACAAGCACTGCACACGGGTTGAAAATCCTCGTTTCCTGCTTTTTCAACCTCAGCTGTGCCGCGCAAATAAAGGACAGCCTAGAGCCCAGACAGGTGGGTGAGCCAAACACCGAACCGGTTCGGTGTCAGCTGCTCTTTGCAGCTACAGGTTCTATAGAACCGGGCCGAACCGGTAGCATCCCACCCCTGCACTGAATGATCAGGCATGCCCAACATTTCAGATTTCATTTTACTTTTATGGCCAAATAAAGTAGTGCATTTAAAACAATATGGCACCAACCATAACAATAATAAAGCAATGGGCCTCGTGTGATTATCTGAATAGATACTTCTACCCTAGTACAATCAGAGTTAGAATTTTTGATGCAATGGGCTTTAACTGGCAAGTTAAAGTTTAACTGGCAAGCAGTACAATTTGTAAACGTTTTAAGAGAATGAAAATACAATATAATAGTTGTGAAACTATAATATATAATAGCAGAATCTGCAGCATTCTTATAAATAAAGCAGAGCTGGAATTCAAATGTAGTTGTTTGTTCTCCTTACAATTTTTTTTGCTTACTACCGTGTAGACTATTCTACGCTAGTCTCAGTCAAGGAGCAAAGTCCAATATGCATCCTGGACCTTCCCATCTGATTTAAGATAAAAACTGACTAACATAGGAGAATCTAAACAACA